GAATAGAATAGAATAGAATAGAATAAGGGAATGGAATGGAATGGAATGGAATGGAGTGGAATAGAATAGAATAGAATAAAGAATGGAATGGAATGGAATAGAATAGAGTAGAATACAGTATAGAGTAGAGTAGAGTAGGAATAGAACAGAATAGAAATATAGAATAGAAATATAGAATACAGTATGGAATGGAATGGAATGGAATGGGATGGATTAGAATAGAATAGAATAGAATAGAATAGAATAGAATAGAATAGAATAGAATAGAATAGAATAGAATAGAATAGAATAGAATTCTTTATTGGCCAAGTGTGACTGGACACATGAGGAATTTGTCTTGGTGCAAATGCTCTCAGTGTACATAAAAGAAAAGAGACATTTGTCAGGAGTCAAGAATCATCAGGTCCAACACTTAATGAGAGTCATAGGGTACAAATAAGCAATCAAATCATACTAGGAAACAGTCCATATAAAGTAAGGACACAATCGACAAAGTTACAGTCATAGGGTCACAAGCGGGAGGGGATGGGCGATAAGGAGTGATGAGAAGATTAATAGTAATAGTCGTGCAGAGTTTGTAAATAGTTGGACAGTGTTGAGGGAATTATTTGTTCAGCAGAGTGATGGCCTTTGGGGGGGAAAAACCTGTCCTTGTGTCTAGTTGTTCTGGTGTGCAGGGCTCTATAGCCTCGTTTTGAGGGAAGGAGTTGAAACAGTTTATGTCCGGGATGTGAGGGCCAATTATAAATATAAAAACAGTTAAAAGTGTTGGAGAATTTGATGGTTTCACTCCACGGCTTCTTCTCTTTCCTTCTCTCTCCCTCTCCCCCAGGCCCCCTACTCTGGCTGTGTCTTCCTGCATGAAGGCTGGCCCTTGTGCCTCCATGAGAAGGTGTCCGTCCATCTTAGCCCTTTGAACCCCCTCCTGCTCCGACCGGGAGACTTTTACCTCCAAGCCGAGCCTTGTGGCGAGCAGTCGGCCTGCCTGGTGGTGAAGTGTCTCTCCAGGGACTTGACCACCGTTGAGAAGATCTCCATCCCTGATGCCTCTTGCTCGTGGCTCTTCACCGAAGCCTGGTTGGAGGACATCAACCGGGACCTGGAGCGGCCAACCCTGCGCACCTGCCTGGTGGCCACCGGCAATGGCATTGTCCCCGTCCCATGGAATAAAATAGCGACCCCAGAGTTTGTCCAGCTCCCCAAAGCAGAACCTCCCATGGAGAAGGACGCCGTCCAGCCTGAGCCTCCAAACCACCCCAGCGGTGGAGACCAGGCCTCCAAACCATCTCAAGGCAAGTATCCTGGACTCATCAAGGTGGACCGTGGCTCCTGGAAGAGGTCCAACCTCTTTGTGGTGCCCAGCCTCTGCGACATCATCAGCGAGAACCTGGAAGGCGAATATGTCAACCTGGTGGAGTTTTCAGAAGAACCTCCCAAGGTTGAGATGTCTTCTCCATCGGTGGCTCCTCATCACCTTCCACCAGAAGCGGAGAAGGTGCTTCTTCAACCCAATGGGAAACCTGGCCCTCTGGGTGTGGCCTGGGATTGTGGGAAAGAGCAAGATTTGGAGGAGGGTCCCTGCACCCCCTGTCTGAGAAGGAAACTGAGCCCGGACTCCAAGACCCATGAGCCACGGTGCCGTTACCGAGACTCCTACATGGCGGCTCTCCAGAACCCCATCAGCTTCAACTCGGGGCTGATGGCGGCCATATTGGAGGAAATGGACTTGAACCAAGCAGCAGACACGGAGGTCCAGCCGGATGAAGGGTCAGGCCAGCTGATCTCGCCGAACCTCTCCGGACACCCCAACAAGGACAGGAAAACAGAGGAAATCCCCAGGTCGGGGCCCACGAAACCCGCCAAGTCTCCGGCTGAAGGTCCGGCAGTCAGCAGTAAATTCTCCTTCCTGAAAGGCCACCGTCCCTTGGCCTCTTCTGGGGAGGGGTCTGCGCCCCCCGAAAAAGCTGGCAAGGGGCCCGAAGGGCCTCGGAAGAAAACGTCGATGGTCTCCTCTCCCAAAGTGGCCAGAGTGAAGCCAGCAGCCGGAAAGGGTAAGAGGAAGAGGAGGGTGGCAGGAACAAAATTGTGGTTTATGAGTAATCCTTGATATCAGGATTCCAGCAAGTGCCCTAATGAAATCAGGATTCTCGAGCCAAACTTCAAAAAACTTCGAAGGATTCATTAGAGGCGACCTAGTGACCCTGCCCTGCATGAAGCCAACTCTGGCCTATGTCATTTCCGGTCCCCTGTGACCCTGTTTTCCCCCTCCCTCCCCCCTGGGTGTGTCATAAACTGGATTCTCCCATTGAGCACCTTCACGGGCTGAGTGTCATCAATCACATTCTCCAATTATGGGCTGGGTGTCCTCATTCATGTTCTCCAATTAAATATATCTGAGGGCAAAAACTGTTATTTTAGTTACAATCCTTTAAAGAGAAGAGTTGGAATGGACTTTCGCTTTCAAATGGTTGCACGGCTCTTCCAGCTTTCCTTCCTCTCCCCCCCTCCATTTTTATGGCAACTACTAAAACAGGCCTAGGAATGTTTGATGAGTTGACATTCGGCTCCTCTCACTTCTTGAAGGTGACCCGTATTAAGCAAGAACAAATTGAGTGCAGATATAGAATTTAGGGTTGCTATAAGGCGATCCGCCGGGACATTCCTATTCTTTACCCAAGATTCCTCTGATAATGGGTAGCCCTTCCACTTGATTTGCTGTCAGGATTCCAGCAAGTGCCCTAATGAAATCATGATTCTCGAGCCAAACTTCGAAAAACTTCAAAGGATTCATTAGAGGCAACCTAGTGACCCTGCCCTGCATGAAGCCAACTCTGGCCTATGTCATTTCCAGTCCCCTAGGACCCTGTTTCCCCCCTGGGTGTCATAAACCGGATTCTCCCATTGAGCACCTTCACGGGCTGGGTGTCATCATTCACGTTCTCCAATTACGGGCTGGGTGTCATCAGTCACGTTCTCCAATTAAATATTTTCCCGGAGCTCCCAATCTTTTAAAGATAAGATTTGGAATGTACTTTTGCTTCCAAACTGCTGCACTGCTCTTCCCGATTGCCTTCTTCCACCCCTTATTTTTTTATGGTAACTACTAAAGCAGGCAGAGGAATGTTTGATGAGTTGACACTCAACTTATGGCAGGCGCCATTGAGCCCCCAAATTCCCATTGCTAAGGGAGACGGTCGTTAAGTTTTACCCCTTTTTATGACCTTTTCTTACTGCAATGCATTAAGTAAATCCCTGCAGTGTTTCAGTTACCGGGAGTAACCCGGTTGTTAAGTGAACCTGGCTTCCCCATTGACTTGCTTTATTGGACGGTCGCATAATGGGATCGACGTGGCCCTGGAGCCCAGCGACCATCATAAATACGAGTCGGCCGCCAATTTTGATTGTGTGACCGTGGGGATGTTGCAATGGTTGTAAGTCTGAAAAAGGGGTCCCTGAGTTTTTTTTTTCAGGGCCGTTGTAACTTCGGTTGCTCTACAAAATGTTGTGAGTTAAGGAACCCTTGTATTTGTAACATGGCAAGTTCCTAAGATGCATGGGCATTGAATTAACAAATTAAATTAAGTTAAATTAAACACAGCATCCGTTAGTCAAATGATTGCAATTCCTGTTGTGTTGGTGTTTTCTGCCCTATCTTTGCCTGCAGTGGGGTTGTACCAACTACGACGTTGTGCGTAGTTTGCGCCAGCCAAAGTTTTTAACATAATTTTGTTTATTGCATTTGAACTTTATATACCATCCGGTCTTACAGCCTCAACAAATGCAACTTAAATGGCTGATAAAAAGAACTTTAAATATAAAATCGATGAGTAACATCCGCAGGCGCTGATTAACTCAAACCGCCTAATGGTCAACGTTAGGATCTCCACCAAAGGAGGCCTTGCAAAATCTCCTGAGGGTTGGGGGTAAGCAGGCCCCCAGGGAGGGGAGGGGGCGTTAGCTGGTGACCTCCCCCTCAAGGGAAGCGTTGTCTTCAGCCCTCACCCCAATTCTCCCTAGCATTTTCTAAGACAAGGTTTGCCGCAACTAGCAACTTGAAGATCGGTGGATTTCAACTCCCAGAATTCCCCAGCCTGGTCAGTTTCTCAGCCTTGGGGAACTTGGAAAATGGGTAGAATTCCTGGAGTTGAAATCTATCACCTTCAACTTCCAAGGCTGAGAAACGCTGTATTTAAATATATAAGTTATTAATATTGTGTCCCTCTGTTATTATGAGGTTTATCAGCTGCCCAGAGTCACTTATCTGTGGGATGGGTTGCAAATGAATGAATGAATAGATATATAAGTGAATAAATAAATGAATAAGCCAATAAATGAATAAATAAGATCCATTTCTCTCCCAGGTTCCAGTCAGACCGAAGTTGCATTCGGGGAACTTTCCAGACCCGTGAATGTGGACGCTGTTGGCGTAACCTCCTCCAGCACCGATACCTCGATCAACGAGCCGCTTGTCCCGGGATCGAGTCCCTCCGCGTCGGTCCCGTGGGATCTGCTCAACTCCGAGCTTTTATCTTCGGGGATCGCCCGTCTTCCAGGTACCCTGAGTGGGAAAAAGCTCCAGGATCCTCCGAGAATCTCCCAGCTGGTCCAGTTGGGTTGGTGGCCGGAGAGTTGATCTGTGAAAGATTTGGGCAGAGTAGATCCTTAGCTTACAAATCTCTCTGGGATCAGCGTTTCTCAACCCGGCTCACTATCAGGGTTCTCCGAGCCAAGTTTCAAAAGAAATCCAGTTATTTATTTGGAGCAACATGTCAGCACGTACCCAAATGAAGTCAGCGCAGCCTCACATAATTTGCAGCCCACCTATAACAGACTTGGATGGGACTTTGCAGGTCATCTAGTCCACCCCCTGCTCAAGCAGGGGGCCTTATCCCATTTCAGACACAAGGGGCTGTCCAGTCTCTTCTTGAAAGCCTCCATTGATGAAGCTCCCATGACTTTAGTATTTAGTATTTAATATTTATTTGATATGTCAATCGCTTACAAGATACAGGTACAAGAATAAATTTAATTTTGAATACATGAGGCAGATACTTATAAGAAAAATAAAACAAACAATAGGACAGGGACGGTAGGCACAATTGGTGCACTTATCCACACACCCTACAGACCACTTAGGGAAGGGGTGAGGTCAATAGGAGACAGTCTAAGGTGAAAGTTTTTGGGGTTTGGGGAAGAAACCACAGAGTCAGGTAGAGGATTCCAGACATTGACCCCTCTGTTATTGCTGAAGTCATATTTCCTGCAATCAAGTTTGGTGCGGTTAACCTTGAGTTTGTATCTATTGTTTGCTCTTGTGTTGTTATGGTTGAAGCTGAAGTATTCATTGACAGGTAAGTCATTGCAATGTATGATTTTATATTCCATACTTAGATCGGACCAAAGACGGCGTAATTCAAGGTTTTCTAGGTCTAGAATTTCAAGTCTGGTGGCATAAGGTATTCTACAACAAGTAGAGGAGTGGAGAACTCTTCTTGTGAAATATTTCTGGACTTTCTCAACTGTGCTAATATCAGATACGTACCGTGGGTTCCAGACTGATGAGCTGTATTGGAGTATTGGTCTAGCAAATGTTTTGTACGCTCTAGTTATTAGTGTGATATTACCAGAGAAAAAGCTACGTAAGATTAGATTAACAACTCTTAATGCCTTTTTGGCTATGTAGTTACAGTGGGCTCTAGCACTTAGATCATTAGAGATGCGTATTCCAAGGTCCTTGACAGAGCTTGGATCCTCAACAAGGTCTTGACTATTTAGCTTGTATTTTATTTTCTGATTTTTTTCTGCCAGTATGTAAGACAGAGCATTTATTTGTTGAGATTTGAAGTTGCCATTTGTTTGACCATTCTGACACATCGTCGAGGTCTTTTTGAAGGGTAGCAGTATTGTCAGTGGTGTTGAAAAGCTTTACATCATCAGCGAGGAGGACGCAGTTGCTCTTAATATGATCACAGAGGCCATTTATGTAGAGTATGAAGAGGGTTGGTCCTAGAACACTGCCTTGGGGGACACCACTGTTGACAGGTACAGAATTTGATAGGACACTCCCAATTTTGACCCTTGGTTGTCTGTTTGACAGGAATGCTTCTATCAAGTTATGCCGGTGTCCAGAGATACCGTAAGATTTTAGTTTTAGGAGTAGTTTGTCATGTACCACTGAATCAAAGGCTTTACAGAAGTCTAAGTAGATTGCATCTATTGCTTTGCCCTGATCGAGTTGTGTAGTCCATATGTTTTTGCAGCGTAAGAGTTGCAGATTACAGGATAGTTTTTTTCTGAAACCAAATTGTTTATTGGAGAGTAGGTTGTTTGTCTCTAAGTGGAGGATGATGGATTGGTTAATAATTGATTCCATGACTTTACAGGTGATGCAGCATAAAGAGATTGATTGTTCTGTAATTTTCATCTAGGCTGGGGTCTCCCTTTTTGAAGATGGGGATGGCCGTGGCTTGTGACCATAGTTTTGGCAAGGAGCTGGTCCTGAAAGATTTTTCAGAGATTATGCTTAGAGGTTCGGCTGTGGCAGTGGATAGCTTTTTTAAGAAGTAGGCTCATATTCCGTCCGGTCCAATAGATAGAGATGGTTTTAGATTGCGCAGTGCTTTTTCAACAATGTTTTCTGTAAAATCAATATGTATTAGATCATTGTAGTTGTCTGTGGTTCGGCTAGGAAATCCTGGGCATGATCCATTGTTGTTTACAAATACTGAGCTAAAGAATGTGTTAAAGATGTTGGCTTTGATGGTGTCGTCGTTGCAGTCTTTACCATTAGTTCCTTTCAGGGGTGGGATGGACCTTGAGTCTTTTAGTTTGTTGTTTACAAAATTGGAAAAAAGCGCAGGTGGAACCGGTGTGTAGAAGGTTTTCCTCTTGTTTAACGTGATAATTGGTGCATTCAGTCTTTATCTGGTGGCATACATTTTTGTATCGGCTTTTGAAATTGGCAACGTGACCAGATTTATTTTTCCACGAAAGTGATCTCTTTTTGGATTGAAGCTTCCTTATTGTTATAGGTAATCTGGTTTTTTTGTGTGTGTTTTGGGAGTTGTTGTTGGTACATATAGTTTGATGACTCTTTTGACTTCAAGTAAAAATATGTTGTAATGGTCTTCTACAGTATTGCATCCAGGGAATAGAAATTGCCAATCAAGGGAAGAGAGATCATTGATTATAAGATCATAGCTGCCTTTTTTGAAGTTATAATTGGGGATTTTGTCATTGTGATGATTTTTGTGTGGACATATGTTGTGACAAAGGTCAATCATGTTGTGGTCACTGTTGGAAAAGGGTTCTTTAATTTGTATTCCGTAAATTGAATTCAAACTATTGCAGAAGTTGAGATCGAGGCAGTTGTTTAGTCTAGTGTTGTTGGTTACTAGTTGTTCCAGTCCCAGATTTGTAACAGCATTGTAGAAGGTTGCATGTATGGCTTCAGTATTACCTTCATTTAGGGTCCAGTTAATATGAGGTAGATTGAAGTCACCAAGAAAGATAAAAGTGTGTGGGCAGGAGTTGCCCATGTTAGTAGTGAATTTAGCTTGTTTGCATGTTCAATGTCATAATCAGGGGCTCTGTAACTTCTGGAGGCAAACTCGTCCTTCCTTCCTTCCTTCCTTCCTTCCTTCCTTCCTTCCTTCCTTCCTTCCTTCCTTCCTTCCTTCCTTCCATCCATCCATCCATCCATCCATCCATCCTTTTCTTCTGTCCTTCCTTGTTCACTCCTTCCCTCCTTCCATCTCTTATTTTATCTTATTTTATCTTACCTTAACTTACCTTACTCTATCTCTCTATCTTCATCTCTGTCTGTCTGTCTGTCTGTCTGTCTGTCTGTCTCTCTCTCTCTCTCCCTCTCTCTCCCTCTTCATCTCTACCAGTATCTACCTACCTACCTACCTATCTATCTATCTCAGAATCATAGAATCCTAGGGGCTGGATGGGACCTTGGAGGTCTTCTAGTCAAACCCCGTGCTTAGGCAGGAAACCCTACACCATTTCAGACAATTGACTGTCCAATCTCTTCTTTAAAAACCTCCAGTGATGAAGTGCCCACAACTTCCGGAGAAGAGCAGTTCCACTGGTTACTTGTTCTAAATAAGGAGAGCATTTTCCCTGAGCATTTTTCCATCTTCTTCGTGTCATCCCTGCTACGTTTCCCCTTCCAAAGTGGGGTAAATGAACAACAGTCGGTAAATTGGGATGCTCTGTAGGGTGCAACATTTTGGGGTAGTTTTTTTTTTACAACTCATGCAACGATCTCCAAATTTTGCCCACTTTCAAATTGTGGACTGAGGGGTTCAGGGGGCTCTCTTGAGTTTGGTTGTTTTCTTTCAGACATTTCATGACCCAACTAGGGAACAACATCAGTGCTGGAAGACAGTGGGGCTTGCAGAGAGGAGGAGGAGGAGGAGGAGGAGGAGGAGGAGGAGGATAACAATTGTGGCATCCTTGGGGCTCTCTGAGCTTGGTTGTTTTCTTGCAGACGTTTCATGACCCAACTAGGGAACAATATCAGTGCTGGAAGGGACTGAGGTGTGGAGAGGAGGAGGAGGAAGAGGAGGAGGGGGAGGGGGAGGAGGACTGTGGGGTCCTTGGTGCTCTCTGAGTCTGGGGACTTCTGGGAGTTGAAGTCCACCAGTCTTAAAAAGTGACCATGTTTGGAGGGCCCTGGACTCCTGCGTGGTTTAACGTGACCTCTCACATTTCAGGCAGCGTGGACAAGCTCGGGAGGCCCGTGGTCGAAATCCCCCAAAACGGAGGAGGCTGGCAGGACCCTGGGATCTCCGCCAAAGAGGTGGCACGGCTTCTACTCTGCCTTTGCTCCATGGCCAGGTAAGCCATTCGAGAGGAAAGGGCGCCAAGACGGTGGGAGGAAGTCAAGGCTGGTGAGATCCCCTTCCTGTCCTCCATATAGGTGAGAGGGCCGCCCCATTTGCAGCCTGTTTGCCCCTCCCGAGGCCTGTTCCCAGTAAACGAGAGAAGGCGACTTCGGTTTTGGAGGAAGCGCCTTCCTTTTTCTCATTCTGCCACCCCTCCGGATGTCCTGGCAGGGCATGAGATGGTCCAAGTGCTCTCCAGTGGGCACTCTCCCCCACGGACGTGGAGTTGAGTCTTCAGATGAGCAGGGAACAAGGCGTCTTCCCTTTATGGAATGGGACAACTCACCACGACCAACTCACTGTGGGACAAGCTAACAATCCAGTTTAATTATTATCTCTCTGTATAAAAGCGAAACATCCCTCAGGCATCATCACAAAATCTCCAGAACCGTCAAATTTGGCCCATAAGTTCCTCTTGGCTTCTAGAGGGGCTCATTAAGAAAGGATTTTTCCAAATGACCATCAGACCATTTAGAGTATTTGCTATGTTATTATTATTAACACGCTCTGATGCTAAGGAGGTCTACTCCCCACTTGAAAAAAAAAAAAACTGTTCCAAATGCAAAACACAAGCAGTTTCCGTTTCACAGCACCAACCAGCTTTAGTCCAGAACAGTTGAGCTAAGCCACGCCCAGGCTCCTTGCTGTCTCCTTCTTGCTCACATAGCAAATACTCCTTCGGTTTCCAAACAGCCCTCAATTCTCTCACACGCTGACAAGACGCTAGCCAGATGAATACCCATAAATGCTGGTAGGCAGAGGCAGAATTTCCCCCCCCCTCTTATTTTCCTCCCTAAAAACTAGGCCCCACCACATAGTTTCATAGCAAAGCACAGGTATCAAGCTTGTTTTAAATAAATACAGATAATATTTTCTTTTATTTTTGTCGTTCACATTTCATGGGGCCCTTGCTTTTGCACCAATGATTCCTTAATGATTCGATTCCACCACATTAGTGTAACGCCTAACCAGCAGCGACTTGTGCCAACGTGGCTATTGTGAGTTGGCTGTGGAGAGTAGGCCGCGGCGAATTTTCACAGACCGTCCCTTTGTCCATGTAGGATCCCCAAGTCCTGCTTAGGGAGAAAGGTATAGGATAGAGGTGGGAACTCCACCTGGAGGTTTATCTGTGTCCTCAGGGTCACCTGAGTGGTGGAAATGGGTGTGGAGCCTTCTTGGAACTGCTGAAAGGATGGTGTTGTAGGCTGGAGATAGATGGGGTCGTATCCCTCCTCCTCCTCTGTTGAAGGAGGGCTGTTCAGTTTGGACTAGATGTCCTTTTGGGCCCTGCTTCCAAACCAGCGCTCCCCGCTGTCCAAAATGTGGATTTTGCTCTCCTCAGAAGAGTGACCGTTGTCTTCTAAATGCAGATGAGCTGCTGAATCTTGTCCTGATGCGTTTGTTCTCCTATGTTGCGCCAAGCGTTTGTGAAGTGGCCGTTTGGTTTCCCCACTGTACAGATCTGCACAGGACTCACTGCATTGTACTGCATATACCATGTTGCTCGGTTTGGGTCTGGGTGTTTTTATCTGCGGGGTACACTGTACAATGCAGTGAGGCAGATCTGAAGAAGGTTGGGATGACCCATAGCCTCTCAAAATAAACATTACAAAACATACATTAAAGTCGGTAAAGCCTTCCACTTAACTTCACTGTTTTATTAGGCACAGTTTAAAGTCACAAAAGTGAATAATGAGGCAAAAAGGAACCCAAAACAAACCACACGGATGAGATTCCGAAGAAAGCCAAGATAATGAATCATAACATTCCAGGAAGATAACCCAGGAGAGTCCATGGGAGGAACGCCGGTGAAGATAAACCTCTTTCAAAGAACAATAAACTTTGACTCCAGCAATTCTGCCTACGCAGTTGCAAACGTATATACATTGCTCCCAGCTGCAAGCCACGAGGAGGATCATGGTAATTTCCTCCTGAGTAGACCTCGCTTTTCCCTGATCCTCTCCTCCCTGCGTGACCTAGGATGGAGAGGGGATGGGCCTGGATCCTCCTCTGATTGCTCAGCCGACCTCTGCCCTTCCCCAGCCTCCACCACCACCACTGGAGCCGCACTCCCACTCCCTGTTGGCTGTTCCTCCTCTTCCTCAGAGTCAGACTCCACCAGGGGCATGACAAAAGCTCCACACATCCATTGGCACCACTCAGGTAACTCTCAGGACATAAGTAAAACCTCCAAGCGGCCTCAACGACCCTCTGAACAGATGCAAATGACCAGCTGTCCACAAGGAGTAGAGATCCTTCCCTTCCCCACCAACCAGTCAAGAACTGAAGAAGCTTCTCGGATGAGAAGGGAAACGTCTTCCAAAGAAGGAACAAGAAAGTCTAGTTGCTTCCTGAAGAACCGCCGTTGGGACAATCGTGACCTGGATGGCTGAGAATCTCCATCCACGTCTCCCCAAGTTCTAAATTCCCCCAATTCCCCTTGCTGCCTCCTCCAGAAATTCTCTTCCAATCCCTCTTAATTCACTTCGTGCACAGCAGGGGGCAGTACCAGCTCCATTTTACCTCGCTGTAAAAGGATGGGAGACCACTAGGAAATTTTAACGGTTCTTGGTTAGAGCGGGAAGACAGGAAACCATCCTAGAAGACCCCGAAGGGACCACCACCAAGGAAACTCAACACAGATAGAAAGTCTTCTCCATCCTCCAAGTCCGGGTTGTCCCAAAGGTGCAATTTTCAGGAGGCCACTGGACTTCCTGGTTGTTGTTGGGTTTTTTGGAAGACGTTTCGCTTCTCACCCAAGAAGCCTCTTCAGTTCTGACCAAAAGGTGGAGGATGGAAGGATTGATATTCCTTGCAGACAGCAGCTGGTCATTTGCATCCTTTTTGGGGGGTCCTTGAGGCCGCTTGGAGGTTTGTCTGTGACCTCAGGGTCACTTGAGTGGCGCTAATGGGTCCTGTACTCTGCAATTTTTTCCCCTGTGAAAATCCACTCATACAACCATCCCTTCCAAAAGGGTGTTTATCCCAAATTGCATGTCTAAAAATCTAGGGAGCTTCTCATCCCTCCAGGTCATGGTTGCCCCAGAGGTGCTTTTTTCAAGAAGCAACTGAACTTTCTTTGAAGACGTTTCGCTTCTCATCCAAGAAGCTTCTTCAGCTCTGACTGGACCGTTGAAACCTGGGTGGTGCAAATGGGTGTGGAGCCTTCTTGGCTGCAGGACAGAGGGCAGAAAAAAAACCATCCTGCAGCCAAGAAAGCTCCACACATACATTTGCACCACCCAGGTGACCCCGAGGACGCAGAAGAACCAGCAGGTGGTCTCAACAACCCTCTCAAAGGAGGCAAATGACCAGCTGTCTTAAAAGAGCATAAATCCTTCCCTTCCCCAGAGTTGAAGAAGCTTCTTGGATGAGAAGTGAAACCACTTCAAAAGAAGAAACAAGAAAATCCAGTTGTCTCTTGGGGAGGAAAAAACCACCTTTGGGTCAACAGAGATAGCCATGAAGTCCGTCTCCACTTGGGAGACGTCTACGTCACTTTGTTTTATTCCACCACGCAGGAAGCGTTCCCACGACCAGGCGGTGGTCATCCTCGTTGATGCCAGAAAGGAAGCTCCCCCTCTGACGCTCCCCGCAGCCTTGGGATCTCTCCAGGTAAAGATGGGTGGGCAGGATCCCCAGTGGAGACCCTCCCTGCTTATGTCCAGGTTGTCAGGATTCCAGCAATCGCCCTAATGAAATCGTGATCCTCGAGCCAAACTTCAAAAAGCTTCCAAGGATCCCTTAGAGGCGACCTACGGGCCCTGCCCTGCACGAAGCCAACTCTGGCCTACGTCATTTCCAGTCCCCTGGGACCCTGTTATCCCTCTCCCCCCCCCCCCCCCCCCCCCCCCCCCCGGGTGTCTCCTAAACCGGATTCACCAATTGATCCCCTTCATGGGCTGGGTGTCATCCATCACAGTTTAAAGGAACGAGCAATCAAAGGTGATCAAACCAAACCAGGTTTAGTGTAAAATGCAACTCCTTAAAAAAAGCAAGAAGCAGCCCAAATGTCCTCCCCCCTCGCCTCCCTGCCCACCTTCTATGTGTTCCCTAGGGGATGGCGTGTGGGGCAATTTCTAAGAAGAGACTGGACAGTCACTTGTCCGAGACGGTGTAGGTTGTGCTGCTTGAGCAGAGGGCTGGACTAGAAGACCTCCAGGGTCCCCGCCAGCATCTAGTCCAGTCCTCTCTATGGTACAGGGTCTTTTGTCTAACCAGGGGGTTGGACTAGAAGACCTCCAAGGTCCCTTCTGCTATTCTATTCTATTCTATTCTATTCCATTCCATTCCATTCCATTCCATTCCATTCCACTCCACTCCACTCTACTCTACTCTACTCTACTCTACTCTACTCTTTTTCTGTTCTGTTCTGTTCTATTCTATTCTATTCGATTCTATTCTATTCTATTTTTATTCTATTCTATTCTAGTCTAGTCTAGTCTAGTCTATTCTAGTCTATTCTTTTTCTATTCTATTCTATTCTATTCTACTCTACTCTACTCTTTTTCTGTTCTATTCTATTCTATTCTATTCTATTCTATTCTATTCTATTCTATTCTATTCTATTCCATTCCATTCCATACCATACCATACCATACCATTCCATTCTCTTCATTCCAATATCTAGTCTATTCTATTCTAGTCTAGTCTAGTCTAGTCTATTCTTTTTCTATTCTATTCTATTCTACTCTGCTCTTTTTCTGTTCTATTCTATTCTATTCTTTTTCTATTCTATTCTATTCTGTTCTATTCTATTCTACTCTACTCTTTTTCTGTTCTGTTCTATTCTATTCTATACCATTCCATTCCATTCCATTCTCTTCATTCCAATATCTATTCTATTCTATTCTATTCTATTCTATTCTATTCTATTCTATTCTATTCTATTCTAAAAAAGGAAATCTCTCCTTATTTCCAGGTTGAATCTCTCCTTGTTCAGTTTCCATCCATTATTCCTTGTCTGGCCTTCAAAAGTGCTTTAGAATCTCAACACCTTTTTTTTTTATAGTGGGGTGACATGATAACCGTGTTCCAATATCTCAGGGGTTGCCACAAAGGAAGATTTAGACCTCTTCACGGTGAGGACATTTCTCCTCTGATCAGGAAAATATTAAGAGTGTGCAGAAATGAACAGGTTAACCCGTGCAATTAAACCCGAGGAACAAATTGAATATTAGATGGCATTTGGAATTGTTTTATCAATTGGCTGGAGGATGAAAACGGAAATTAGAAAATCTAAGAAGACCAGCGAAAAAATAGTAAACACTTGAATAAGAATTAAATCGGCTAAGAATTGTTATTGTAATTAGATACGTTAAGTGCAGCAGTGTGAAGTAAGAATAGAGTAATGATATAGTAGTAATGAATATGTACTAATTGTAAAGATTATTGCACAAGATATTTGTACCCAGACAACACACTGTTTAAATGAAAGATGGACTATTGACCAATGTCTCCTTTTTTATGTACACTGAGAGCATTTGCACCAACACAAATTCCTTGTGGGTCCAATCACACTTGGCCAATAAAAGGATTCTATTCTGTTCTGTTCTATTCTATTCTATTCTATTCTATTCTATTCTATTC